TATTAAATGTAATTATTTTTGTCGCTAAATATAATTCTAATGATTTTTTTTTTTTATACTAGGTGAGAAACCATTTAAATGTACAATCTGTAATAAAGCATTTGCCGACAAGTCAAATTTACGTGCTCATATACAAACGCACTCGAACACTAAGCCACATGTATGCAGTCGTTGCGGTAAAGCATTTGCTCTGAAATCATATCTATATAAGCATGAAGAATCATCGTGTATGAGGGCCCATCATCGATCATCCACGGATAAAATCGATGGAAATGATCAAAAAATAGCATCATCATCACCAAAATCTTGTGCACCATTACCATCTTCTTTGAGCAGATTACAAACAACATCGTGTGTTACGGCATCTCCTACAAGCGTTATTGTTCCTCGCCTAGGTCTCAATCGTGATCAAAGAAATTCATCTTCGGCGTTTTCTGCGATTATTAGGCACACTAGAGTTCCCGATGCATCTACATCACCTCCACCATTGAAACGTTCTTACAGAGAGAAAACTCCAAGTGAAGAACGCGAAAGAAAAATATCTGATAATGTAACGAAGAATCCAGAATGTGTATCAAGAATGGTCATTAGAACATCCGTCATATCTCCTAATCCGGAACATCTCAGTCGCTTCAACAATGATAGCCAAACTTCTTCCAATAATTACGATTTTTCCGATCCTACGAGGTCTTCCGCATTTTCCCAACCAACGACAATGACACTTAACTTAGCTATTGCATAGATAAAATATCGAAGAATAGAAATATCTTCGTTCAAAACAATAGAACAAAAATTATGGCAAGTATTTTTATAAAATAATGGCAATATTATCATATACAGATACAGATACACCAAAGATTATTTTATACTTACGGATCAGTAAATTATTGAGACCGAATATAATTTCATAAATATGAAAGAATTACCATCCAAAAATGAATAATTAAATTGTTGCTTCGTAGAAACATAAAGACGTAATTACTTAATAACAACTAGTGTCATTCCTATCAATATTGAGATAAGTTTGTTAAGTTTTAACAAGAAACATTTAAAATTTTATTATATTTACTTGATGGAATCTTTCTGCAATGAGTATCCATTTTTTATAGTTGAATGTAGAATCAATTTTTGAAAAAAAATTTGACATAACAAATACTATAGATAGAAATCATGAATGTTATTCCATGCACCTTCCTAATTAGGGACCATATAGCACATAGTCATATTAATGATAAAATTGTGAGAGAAAATTACCAATTCCTAGTGTTGTGCCTTAAATAGTTGTACGTAGTTACAGTTTTTTAAAGACATATCATGCGTTGCATTAGGAAAAAAAAATAATTTATTGATTTAACGTGAATTGCAGTGCCTATATGCATATTACTTACCTTAGTATTAATCGTATCAGTTTTCCAAGCTCTTCCAGGCAGCTATAAATTCCTTCAGGCTTGAAACTAACATATACTAAAGTGTAAATTACCAACAAATAGGATTATAAACATTCACATAATCGTGAAATAATGTAAAAAAATATAACTATTTTTTTTGATTAGTTCATATAAGAAGAAATTTTTAAACTTCTATAATTTTACAGTACTCTGTATAAAATTTCTGTTACGCGTTTATTCTAAATATTGTATACTATAATAGTTAAATTTAAATTTAAAAAAACTATTAAAATTTAAATGAAAAAAGTACTGAATAGCAATTAAGATGTAAAAAACAGCAAATAATGTGGATAAATGTAATTTTGGAAATCACATTTTGCTGCAAATGTATATTTAAGAAAATAGTTTTATAATGTAATACATTAATTGCGTTTTTAAATACGAACGCGTATCGTCTGTGATTCGAACTTTCGTAAACGAAACTAATGGCCATATGCAGCCTAGTAGCGCCTTGATGGTATTATATAATAATTAATAATTTTTTTTTGTTTTTGATCTGTTATCGATAATCGATAATGATCTGAGTGTAAACTAGTCCAACCCGTTTTGCTATTCTAAGTGCAACTATTGAACTTTTTTGTAATATATATTCATGAAATAATTCATACATATTTTCCATTAATCATTTTCTAATTTTTCATAATTATAACTCCATGTTCATATTAATTTATATTATTATACATATTATTTTATTTTTAACTTAAAATAAAAACTTACAAAACGACGGTTGCACAAATAATTGAATGGCAGCGGTTATATGATGTAATGATATAGTTCATCCATTTTTCACAGTAAATTCATACATTAAAACATATGTTTTATAACCTGAAATGAAAAGCATACACAAGTATGCATATCCTAGTCATTAATATCAAATATAGAACATTATATTATATACATCCCAAAATGTAATATTAGATTGTATAGTTCTTTAAAATCATACGTTGTAAATAGCATTCCCTACGTTATATATTAGTATTTAGAATATATTTAAAATATAACAAATGATCTAATAGTTAGTATAGCTATAATGTATTATTGTTTTCTGTATGTCACGAACCATTTGTACATTGGAGTGCCTAAGTAAACATTTTACCAATTTTTTTATAAATTGTGCAAATATTATCTATTAAAATGAAAAAAAAAGAAATAGAACTTTTATATCGATAGATTATCCGATTAATATTCGTCGTTTCACTAATCCATTTTCCAAAACTTTTTTTTCACAAATAACTAAATATTGCAATTGTGCTTGAGCATATAAATTTGACACAAATAGAATAAAAATTCAGAAATCAGCGCCATCTGTAGAATGTAAATGAAATATATAAAAAAAGACAAAAAATAATAGAAAAAGAATAGAATAAGAATAGATTAAGAATTTTCAACATTATCTCTTAAATATTAAAGATATTTTTTTAAAAAATCATCTTTTTAAAACCAACCAAGAGATGATGTTAATTCTCAATTCTTAATTTGTTTTATTCTATGCTTTTTGACTAAATGTTTTTTGATACTCAAGAGATGGTGCTGATAGTCAATTCTTATCTTATTTCTATCCTTTTTCCTATTATTTTCTGTTTTTTTTTTTTTATGCGTTCATGGCATTCTTCTTTGTGGCATTAATTTTCGAATTTTAATCGAATTTAGTCTTTTCTTCTCTTATTATTTGCTTTCTTTTTATATAACAAACGGAATACAGAATGTGAATTAAACATACTTTCATCATTTCAAAATTATAAATATATATTATATTATATTATAAATATATGATATGTCAATCTTCAATGATAAATATTATATTCTCAGTTTTACAATGTATTTTTTTCTAAAATTTATTATTTATAAATAATAATTTATAACGATGATTAATAATAATATAGATATTCTATATTAAAATAATATAGTTTTAATGTAGTTTATTTAATATTTGAATATTGAATACGTGAATCAGATTTAAATGTTTCAATTTAGATATCTGAACATTTATTGAAAAAGTTGTAATTATCTGAATATCCAAATACTTATCCTATCTTCGATTCTTAAAATAGATTTTGAATTGTAATTGAATATTCAGATATCAGATATAAAAGATTTTTAGATAGAAAATGTAAAAATTTTAGAAAATAAATTATATTTCTTATGTCAAAAACAAATTAATATATTAAAATTTATATATTACTATATTTAATTATAACTTGTTTTATCTCAATAAGTATCTCCTTCCAATTTGAATCGATGTTTTATATGACATGAAAAAGTAATGGGGTTACATGGTCCCTGGACTATGTGACACAAAAATGCATTAGATCTCTATTCCATAATCTAAAGAAAAATATCTATAATAAAGAAAAATCCAATTATTTTTGTAATAAATATATTATCTATTTTCTATTTTTGATATCAGTTACATCCATTTGATTTATCATTATATATGTTATTATAATGTAATCAAAAAATTAATTGTAATTTTATATACAAATTTACAAAAAATATTTCATCTTAAATTCATTTTTCTTTTATTCATCAAATTTTTTTATATTATTGATGAACTATGCTATGCGATAGTTTAATAATGCATCGGAATAGAACAAACAACGACTTGCTGTATTTACCAAATGGATTGGAGTTTATAATTAGGGCAACGAAGGGGAATACATCTATCTTCGTCAGTCGATAATGGTCACATAAATTGACTTTAGACGATATCTTGTACGATTAAAAAGATATTTGCGTCTTTGAAAGTAAAGCTGTGAAAATAGTATGGTGAAATAGATTATTCTTATCCGGAATCATTTTGCGTAAATCAAAATATCATCTTTGCAATTCTATATAATTTAATATAATAATCAAAAAAAAAAAAAAAGAAATCATCTTAAAATAATACTGTTAAATTAATCACAAATATTAAAAATAAAACAAATTCTATGTATATTACTTTTTGATATTGATGATTTTAATTAAATTATAGGAATATAAATAATTTTTTAAAATAAAAAAAATTTGGATTTAATTCAAAAGTTCTTTTTCAGAGAAAATTAGATAAAAATGCATATATACTAATTTTATTTTATATTCTATTATTATTTTGTATTCTATTGTTTTTTCTTTCAATCTATCATTGCTTTTATTATTTTACTAATGCAATTTTTATATAAACATAAATTTTGTAAATGTTTTATGTAAATGTTCATGAAAACGTGATGATAAGGAGATCTGAACATCATGAGACGACATAAGATAATATATGCTTATAATGCTTATGAGACTGCAGACGCATTTACATACCGGCGTTTCTTAGAATTTCCCCTATCAAACTGATTCCCCTTCTTCACTTTAATCCAAATCCTCATAGTTCTTGATCTCTTTGCAAGATCGAGCATAAGTAAGTCATAGAAGAAATGAAAAGAAGTGTTTGGTAGCATAGTTTCGACGACCAATCTAATAGGATTATCATCAAATAGAAGCTAACAGTCACAAAGAAGAGATCGAACTAAACTAAAGCTATGCGACTAATTTTTATCATTTTAATTTTCTTTTCGGGAACAGTACTTTCAAGATATTACGTAAGTTACCATTCATTGTTTTTCTTTTTTTTATTTAATATTTGTCTTTCATAAATGAATCATTTCAAAGCATCCTTAGAAAATATTTTTAGAAAGAAGAACTATTTATTGATTTAATTTATATTTATTTGTTTTTGATTTATTAATAAATTAATATATTTTATCGATAAAAATTACATTAATATTTAAACTTAATCAACTGATAATATATCATTTATTTAAATAAACATAATGAACTTTATTTTTCAATTTTATATTAAAAGCAATGTAATTCATAAGAAATTAGTAGAATTAATAGAAATTAAATATTAATAATTATTTGAAAGACAGGTTTGGAGATCAAAGTTCATAAGATAAATTGATAAAAAATAGCACAATCTATTAATTTCTTTATTAGATTAATTTTCTTTTATATTATTTTTATTTATTTATATTTGTTAAGAAAAAATTTAATAAAAAATATTTAGGAAAATTAATATTCAAATATATTTAAAAATTGTAACTATTTTTGTATGTATAATAAAATCTGTTGTAATTATTTATATTATTAACATATTAATATAACATTATTTTTATATTTTTTTTATAAACTTTTTTCATTTCAATTATTAACAAGATTCATTCATAGGAAAAAAGACGTTTCGATCGTTCCGTATATGATGACTTTGAAATATCGAATACTCATAAATTCGCAATAAATAAACAATGGACATTTACTGATTACAAAACGGTAATAAATATTCTACTTTTGAAATTAAGAGATCTAGTGGAAAACAAGTATATAACATATATATTAATTTCTGTTTTTTTTATCATTTATGTATTCATTTATGATTAATAAAATATACATAATATAAAAGTTTTTCAATATACTATCATGTACATTAATAAATAGAATCATATATGACATTCTAAAAAAAATAACAATAATAAAAAAATATAAATACGTGCAATATCTTTTATAAACATAAAGCTATCATCAATTTGTTTCCTTTGAAAATCTCTTATGAAAATATGGCATATACCAATTTTTCATTAGATCTCTCAGTTGATCAAATTAATCATAATTGATGATTTTTATTTTTTATAGCATTTTAAAGCATATAAAGATAAAAAAGAAAATAAATGTTATATAGAGAAATTTAAAGATAAAGAGGAACTTTCAGAAAATAAAATCAAACAAGGATATAAAACTTTTTATATTTCGAATGAATTTTTAACAAAATTAAAGGTAATATTTATTTTTCATTATTATTTTACTAAATTATTATTATAAAATAAATAATTATTTTTTATAGGCATGGCAACTTGCAGGAGAAAGAATAGTTGATTTTTGTAATAAACGTAAAATTATTTTAATAGAAAGAACTGCATCTATATTAGATCCAACAAATATTCACTATTTTAATTCACTTTCTTATGAAAAATATTTATTTCAACCATCTTTGATAAAACGTGCCAAAAGACAAGTTGTATTTGAAAAAAAACAAAAATTTAATAAGAAATTTAAAAAAAATCGTTTACGTCGTCAAATACAAAAATCTCCAGGCAAATTTCAAGGACAAACGCAATCTCAGTATTTAAATATTGGTAATAATAATAAAGAAGAAGGCAAAGCTGAAGCTGAAGCTACTCAACAATCTTCACGCGCGGTTGTTAGTAAGTACTTGAAAATGTTTTTACTATTACTTAGTATTATATTATGAATTAAATATAAAATAAAATATTTAAATAAAATATCTTTAGGCGGAAAATATGGTATGGGTCAAGCACAAAGTATGTCATTAGGTAATATTGGATGTGAAGATTGTCAAAAATATTCTGATGAAAATGCTCCAGACAGATATGTTCAAATTCCAGGTATATATTAATTTTTACTGATTTTTTATTATTATTATATTATTATAATATAGATTTCAGATACTTTTATATGAATAAATAAAATACAAACATTAATTATTGAAATTATTTCAGCAATCAAACAATCAAAGAATATTATTGTTCATCCTAGTAAAATTATTCCAGGAATAAGCACTATTTATTCTGATAGAATATCTGCTAGAGGTCATATACCTTACTTTAACAATATACATGGTACTAATGGTGTGACAACCTATCCTGGTAATGTAGGTGGTACAACAAGTAGTAGAACAATTTATCCTGAAGGTGGAAGTATAACTTATCCTGTAGGTGTATCTGATATTATAACAGGTGATGATGTAACTCATCCTGGAAGTATATCTAGTACTAAAACTGTTGGTGATATAGCTTATCCTAGAGGTATATCTAGTATTCCAATTGGTAATAATATAGTTTATCTTGGAGATTTATCTAATATTAAAACTGTTGACATAGTTTATCCTGGAAGTGTGCTTGGTACTACAATTGGTGGTAACATAGTTTATCCTCAAGAAGTACCTGGTACTACAATTGATACTCATTTAACTTATCCTGGAAGTATACCTCATACTGCTATTGGTAGTAGTATAGCTTATGTTGGAGATATATCTAGTACTACAGCTAGAGATAATGTAGCACATCCTGGAAGTATACCTGGTATTACAACTAGTAATAGTGCAGTTTATCCTGGAAATATACTTAGTACTGCAACTAACGGTGATGCAACTTATCGCAAAGATATAGCTGGTATTACTGGTGACATAGCTTATTCTAAAGATCCTATACCTGGTACTATAACTAGTGTAGTATATCCTAATGATATATCTGATACTACAACTGATAGAGGTGTAATTTATCGTGGAAATGTGAAACCTAGTACTATTATTAATAGTGGTGTAATTTATCCTAGTGGTATATCTAGTACTATAGCTAGAGATGCAACAGCTTATAGAAATATACCTGGATCTACAATTGGAGGTGATGTTTATCCTCAAGGTTTATCTGATGCTACAATTGATGATGGTATTACTTACCCTAGTGTTGGTGATAGAATTGCACCTAGTACTACAACTAGTGACAGTATAGCTGGTAGTATACCTAGCACTGTAGCTAATGATGGTCATAGTCAAATTATAACAAATTCAAAAGCAATTGCAGATGCCAAAATTTATCCCATTGGACAAATACCTTCAAAACAATTCTTTGGTAAAAAATTTTACTTTATTAATAGAGATAATAAAATAGAACGGAATATATATCATAATATTGGTTCATTAGGAACTTTACCTGGTCATACTGCACGTGGAACTACAGATATTAGAGGTATTTATTTCATGATACTATTTTATGATTGCAAAATCAAATAAAAAATTTATATTTATAAATTTATTATTGAGAAAAAACAAATAAGACAAATAGAGATATTATATTAGAAATTTCTATTACAGTTCCAAGTGATGAAGCTACTTATTCTGGAGATATTATTCCAAAAACTACAGGACATTTTATAATAGGTGATCAAACAAAAATTAGTGCTGATGGTAGACTTCAAGGATCTGATCGAAAAATTAAAACTGATCAATCAGGAATTTCTTATCCCCATGGCATTGTAAGAATTCAATCTCCTGAAGCAGGAAAATATCCCAATAGTCAAGTAATACCAGGTTATTCAATGCAAGAGCAATATCCTAGGATATGGCATGATAATAGAGGAATTTTAACTATAGGTCAAATTGATAATAGACAAAATATAGAACAATATCCAAATGAAAAACAAGGTATTAAACAATATCCTATACAATATCCATTAACTGGAGAATCGTTATCGAATATTAAAGAAGTTCCTCAATATTATCAACAATCTAATACTGGTTTACATATAGAAAATGATAATTCTAATTCTCAAGCATCTAGTTCCGTAAAACAAACAGATTTAGGAACTCAAGCAAGTGCATCTGCTCAAGGAAAATTTGGACAAGGTACAGCTCAATCTCAAGTAACAGGTACTTATAGCGGTTCTGGATCATTCTCAGCTCAAGCTGGTAGTACTGATATGAATAAAAGTGCACAAACAGAAATTAATGGTGATAAAGAAGGTGCTGTAAGTAATGCTCAAGCACATGGTGGTTATGGAAAAAGTCAAGCACAAGTACAATTAAATTCAGAATTAGGTGCTACAACAACAAATGCACAAAGCAGTGGTTGGAATCATGGTACAAATTCTCAAGTACAAGCAAGTTCAAAAGGTGGAATGGCGGATGCTCAAGCAAACGGTGAAGGAAGTACTTCAAGTCAAGCTCAAATTGGTTTCCAACCATATCTTAAAACAGATGAAAAAATTGAAAAATATTTAAAACCGTTTCACGGAGGTGGAACAGCTTCCGCTCAAAGTGGAACATATACAGGGCAATCTCAATCTCAACTTGAAGGATCTTTTCAATATGGAATTACTTATACTGGTGCTGCACAAGCAGGATCAGGATCTGGTGCAGCAGCTTCTAGAAAACCATTTAATTTTAATCTTACAAATACTGAATTATTTAAATCATTTAAACCATCTTATGGACAAATTGTATCAAAAAATAATAGTAAAATATCAAATATATCATTAAATACAGATTACAAATATAATCAAGACAAACTTCAAAGTTTGCAAACTAGTTCTAGTTCTCAAAGAAAAGTTATTATTAATTTAACAAATGTTAGTTCACCAAACATTGTAAGCAAACCAAATCAATCTACTGAAAAATCACAAATAGATGATACAATATATGATGATTATGAAGAAGAATATGATGGTGAAGATTATAATATCTCACCAATACCAACTTCAAGTCCAAAAATTTCACAAATTTATACTGCAGAACAAAATAATAGTAATCATCAATCACAAGCAATAAAAGTTGCATCTAAAAATCAATACAATTTTCATATGAAACAAAATACAAATACAGCACAAGTTGGAAATATACTTCAACCTGGACAATCATTATCAGGATATACTATACCACCAGGTTTTCGTGGTAGAGTAACATCTATAGCTGGTAGTGAAACTATTGCTCATGGCAATGGAAAATCTCAATCTCAAACAGTTTCTTTAATTCCAAAGGAATCAAATGTGATTTATAAAATTAAATCACCTATTTCAGAAATCAGATCTCTTAAAACTAATCATGAAAAATTAATAGAAAGTCATAATTCATCTAAACAAAATCAAAAACATCAAACTTCTACAGAATATACAAAAGTTACTCCTAATATATCAATAAAACCAAGTTATTATACAATTACAAATAGTGTAGCTGGTAAAATGGATGATAAAAATTCACAGAGAAAATATGAACATCGTTATTATACTAAAAGTTCAACTTGTGGATATTTTACATTCTCTTGTAATATTGTGTATGGTTCTAATGGTAGAACAAAAATTTGCAAGCCAAAAATGCCAACATATCCTGATGGTACACCTATGAAATGTTAGGTCAATAATGATCATTAACTTTGAAAATTTTTATATTATTTACAAAAACTTAATTTTATTTATAGATTATTTTATATTTTATTAATATTAGAAATATTTTTTTATTATTCTTCTTGTTTATCTTTGCATCAATATTTATGATCATTCATATATCTTATGAATGTAATCATATTCTTACTATTTCTTTTACATATACACATATTACATATCATTTTTTATTGAGGTACTTGTATTGAGAGTATATTATAAAAATTTAATGTTACATCAATTTTTAATATTTATACTTTTTTATCAATAAAACATATATTAAACAAATAAAAGATTCTATTTTCTATTTGTTTTTAGATATGAATTATATATCAATCAATAAATATATATTGAATACATTTTTTTCTAAATTCATTACAATCAAATATAAATTTAAACAGTTTTTTAAAGTATTTTCTACATAATATAGATATACATACATTTACGATTTTTTAGACCTTATTTGTTAACACAAAAATAATAAGTATAAATATCAGGTATCATAGACAATACATATAATCTTCCATTATCTAACTTCACCAGTCTTTAGGTAAGAGGCAAAATTTGAAATTACATTTATGATTTAAATTATATACATTATTTATATACATAAAGTAATAATATTTAAAACATAATACATTGGAATGTGAATTTACAAATAAAAAAAAATTTCAAATATTTACAAAAAATATTTTATAAAAATATTAATCTTTTTATATTATAAAAAATTAGAAAAAAATTATATACATAGTTATATGTAAAATTAATAAAAAAAAAAAAAGAAAATTATCTATATAAAAGAAAATTATATATAAATGTGAAAAAATATAATTTAAATAATAATACAATACTGAAATACATAATAACTTTTCATTATTTAAGTTCAGTTATTAATTATTCTATTTATACATTTAATAAGATTTTATATAATTCAAAAATATTGCTACATCAATTGATGTATTTTAGAAAATGTAAAAAAAAATTATTTTTCACATTCCAAATTTCATTTATCATTTATCAGTCAAATTAATTTAATATAATTATTAAAATAATTAAATACTAGGCTTGCTCAAACTCTGAAACAATGTTTATAAAATATAATTATTATATTTCTTAAATTAATATGTAAAAAAAGATATACCAAAACTTACCATTTGTTAATTTACCATTATTAGTTGTACATAATTTTTCTTCAAGAGTCTCTCCTATTCCTACACCAACTGTGTAAGAATCAGTACTGATAACAAATTAATTGTCAGTAACAATTCTATAATTTAATTAGAAAAATATGGATATATGATATATTAAGAATATTAATAGATATTTTTGCTATTTACCTATTTCGAAAATGTTCCAATTGTACATTAGCTGATTCTAATTGTTCTAAAAGATCTTCATTTGCTCGTTGCAATTTACGAACACTGTTAGTTGCAGCATCTACTTCATCTTGAACTGCAGCTAATTCTTTTTTCAATTCTTCTACTCTTGCTCTAACTCTTTTTACTTCTGCTTCATATTGTTCTGATCTTCTCATAGCATGTGAAAGTTCTGTTGTTTTTTCTTCCAAAGATTTTTTTAATATTGTCTAATAATTAATTTAATTAGTACAATTACATACTTTTATTATGTTTAAAATATTATATTTAAAATACATAATACAAACCACATTCCTAACTAAAAATTCTTGTTGTAATTGTCTCGCATCATTATCTGATGTGGAAACAGGACGTGACCGTCGAGATTCTATCCTTTCTTGTAAATCATTTAATTCGTTACGAAGTTGTTTGTTTTCACGTTCTAAAGAAATTTTTTCTGTTTCTAAACGTTCTCGTTTTCCCCATTCGGCTGCATTTTCTGCTTGAAGTCTTTCTAACTAAAAAATTATATAATTATAAATAAATAAAAATATATATGAATATTGTAAATATTGTGTGTATAATGCATAAATATGTATGTTTGTTTACTTCTGCTCTAAGTTCACACAAACGACGATTCATTCCTTCTCTACTTGAAGCTTCATCAATTATACCAGCTTGAATATCACTAAATTCAATTTGAAATCGATCTTTCAATTCAAGTAATTCTCTTGTAATTTCAGCTTTACTTTCCTCTAATTCTTCACACTGTTTTCTTAATTGCATTATTTCTGCTTTTAATTTCTCCATACCATGATGTAATGAATTTTTTTCTCTGTTAAAAAATTTTTAAATAATTTATTAAGTTTATTTATTAAATTTAGAATATCAGTAAAGAGTTTTGTATTAATGAATAATAATAATTTTTCATATTCTTACTCTCTTTCTGTAGATATAGTTTTTGTAGCTTCATCCAATTTATGTTGAAGCAATAATATTTTTTGTACATAAGATTCATCTGTACATGTTTGTAATGAAGATTGTTTTTTTTCTAAATTATTTTCTGTAGAATTAGAATCAACTAATCTCACAATATCTTTATCTAATGAATAAAGGGAACTATCTTTATATATTTCTACAGCATGCTTTGGCACTGCACCTTGTAATACATATTCTTCAATATCTCTATCTGGTAAAATATTATGACTTCCTAAGCAAACATTAGATTCATCAAGTGAAACTTTACAAGAAAGTAAATCCTTTTGAGAATTTACACTTTCACTCTGTTCTACATTATTATAAAATTTCAATAATTCATTAATATCTAATGTATTTCTTAATTGTGGATCTGATTCTAAAACTGTAAAAATTTGTTGATCAAATTGTCCAGCATGTTTTAATAATACCATATGTATTTTTTCCATTTCTTTTTTTAACTGCTCATTTTGTAATTCAAGTTCCTGACATTCATGTTTATAACTATTTGCATCTTTTACAGCAATTTCTAATTTTGCTCTAAGCATTTTTGCTTCTTCTCTTGCCATATTTCTTTCATTACGTACTTTACTCCATTTCTCACGCCAATTTGCAGTACAATCTGACCACCATCTCATTGTTTTTTCCATCTGTGCAGCTCGTGCTCTTGCTTCCTCAAGTTCTCTTTGTCGTAAAGCCTACAATATTATTATTAAGCAAATAATTTATTGAATACTATTTTATTATAATTATTTTATTATAAATTTTAATTTATAATAATAATAATAATAAAATAGTAATTATAATAACATATTAAAATAAATATGTAATTATGTCAAATATTTATTGTTTAAAAATAAATGAAATTTAAATATTTTTAAATTTTCATATACATCAAATTCAAATAAAAATAAAAATAAATAATTATTTTTCAACAAATAATTTATTTTTCAAAATAAATTTTTCTAACTTAAAGATAAAAGTATTACCTCTTTTGTTTCCCATTCACTATCCACATAACGTGATGAAGATGGTACATTAACATCATGTTCTCTCATATATCGTCGAGAAGACGTTCCACTAGTTGTTGATTGTGCCATGATAACCTAAAATGCTGTTTTTTTTATAAATGAATATATATTAAAAGTAATTTATTTCTTCTTGAATTGGATCATTTTGCAAACTTATAAAGAATTCTACTATCTTTTATATTCACTATCTTTTCTATTCACATCATATTTATAATAATAGCAACCTAAATATAATTTTTATATAATTTTAATCTTTATATTATATCACATATTCATCTGAACTTCAGATTGTGAATTGACATTTGTATTATCTATATATAAACATACCCATGTATATATATCTATAGATATTTCGAGAGATAGAATAAATATACGTATTCTTTCTCTCTACAAACTTGACAGAGAATTCTTTACAGCACACAGCAATCTAAATATGACGTCATTGAGATACAGAGATTAATAGTAGAAAGGAAACCATTGAGATGGAGAAATGCGTTGCTTAGCAACACGACGCGATAGTATGATGCCATCTAGTTGATGATATGATGCACTACATATACTAAAATATACTAAAATAGCAGATAGATAACGTCGATGCATAGCGTTGTTAAGTAACGCATTTCCTCTATTTCAATAGTTCCCTCTCTACTACTTTCTAGATTAGTAGCCAGGAAGTTGAGAAAAGAATTAATATAGTCAGCATTAATCAGTGAACTTTATATTGTAGATAAATGAAATTAGGATTTATATTGTTACGTTATTATATTGTTAGTTAGACACGACATGATATAGATATAAAAGTGGGAGTGGATGTAATTCTCTCGAAAAAAAATTTTTGCGCCAATGCTTTTAGTATCCTAATAGTTGCCGAGACAAGAACATAAAAGTGACAATTTTGATTTTCAATATTTTATTGATATCACACATAAGTCGATGTAGAGAATTATCCGACAATCTTAATCTACATTTGATTTAAATAAATATATAAATTAAATATAATGTTATGTATTAAGAAGAAATTATATAAATTAATTATACAGTGCAGATAAAAAACATATATATAGAATTTAAATAATTTAAAGAAATACATATAATTTAACATTTCTAAATTTATAATATTGTAATATGCAATGTTACATTAACAATTTCAAATTTTATAAAATTATTTTAAAAAGTATTTGCAGTAATTCACAATTATTTAAAAAACAAAAGATTATATTCAATAAATAATTTTATTTGAAAATGAAGAATATTTGATAATAATATTTTTTATATTATAAAACATAATTTTTAAAAAATTATATTATAAATTTATATATATTTCATTCACGTGTGCAAAATTATTAACTATAAACAAAATAATGAATACTGTAAAAAATAATTGTGAAATTGGAAATGGTTTAGATGATCTTGGTATACCTGGACAAGGTTTTTTAAGAGATGCCTTAACAAGTTGTACAGATCCATTAAAAGCAATTGAAGAATTTCAATTAGAAAATGGTATTCTACTTCCATCTTTAAGACCTATGTTACCTTTGCTTGATCTTCATGGAGTAAGAAGATTAGATTTTCATGCATCAGTTCTTGAAGAATTAAGAGAAAAATTAATAAAACGAATCAATGAAATTGGGACAGAAAGAGCAGATAAAGGTTCAGCAGGAGACAGAAGATTAAAAGAATTATTATCTAAAAGTTTTCCTGCTGTAAGAGTTACAGCATTAAGACCAGTTGTTATGTGTATTTTAAGAAATACACCACATATAGAAGATAAATATTTACGAGTACTTGTTCGAGAAAAAGAATTATATAATGATGCAGATACTGAAGTTAAACGTCAAATTTGGAAAGATAATCAAAGTTTATTTGGAGATGAAGTTTCTCCATTATTTAGCCGATACATTATTGAAAAAGAACAGATACTATTTGATCATCGTAATTTAAATAGTCTTTTTTTTATGCCTTCTCCAAAGGTATATTAAAAATAAATATTTATAATATAGAAATCTTAAATTTTACAATATTTTTAACAAAAATTAAATTTTATAAATTACATTTAATTTATATATTTAGGTAAGAAGACAAGGTGAAGTGGTACAAAAATTAGCACATATGATTGGACATAGTGTAAAATTATATGATATGGTATTACAATTTTTAAGAACTTTATTTTTACGTACAAAAAATATACATTATTGTACATTAAGAGCAGAATTATTAATGGCCTTACATGATTTAGAGGTTAACTTATATATAATATTAAATTATTTATATAAATATTATATAAAATTGATATATTATATTATATCTTAATATTTAATATTTTTAGGTACAAGATATTATTTCTGTTGATCCATGTCATAAATTTACTTGGTGTCTTGATGCATGTATTAGAGAAAAAAATGTTGATATTAAAAGATCCCGTGAATTACAAGGTTTTCTGGATAGTATTAAGGTATATAATAAAATTAATAGTATTTAATAATAAGTATCTCTTTATTAATTGATAGAAAAGTAAAATAATCTAGTTTTTTACAGAGAGGTCAAGAACAAGTATTGGGAGATTTAAGTATGATATTGTGTGATCCATATGCAGTAAATTTCCTTGCTAGTAGTGCCATTAAAATTGCACTTCATTTGATAAATGGTGAAGCATTACCTAGAGAAAATGCAGTTCTTGTACTATTACTCAGAATGCTTGCATTAGGTTTATCTGCTTGGCAAATGATTGATTCGCAAGATTTTAAAGAACCAAAATTGGATAGTCAAGTTGTAACAAAATTTTTACCTGCACTTATGTCTTTAATGGTAAACTTGTTTATGAAATGTAATAAATAATTTTAAATAAATATAATAAAATAATAGCAATTTATTTTTTAGGTAGATGATCAAATAAGACAATTAAATTGTAAACTTCCACCTGATGAGAGAGAAAGTGCAATTGCTATAATAGAACATTCTGGTCCTCCTCCTGATGCTTGTCAAGCATATGCACAACTTTCAGGTGTTGCTGCTGTTTTATCTATGTATTATGCCTTACATGTAGGAGGTGGTGGTGGAGTAGGAAAAGGAAGAGGTGATGCTAGAGGTCTAATGAGAGTATTAGCTACTTTACCAAATTGTCAAGCACAACGTGCGTTTGAAGATCCCTTTTTGCACACTTTGGTGAGCTTCAATTAAATTTTCAATTAAATTTAAAACTTATGTAATTATTAATAAGATAAGATAAATTTAAATAAAATTGTATTAAATTGTTTTTTTATAGGTATCTTTATTAATATTAAACATGGCTGATGAATTTTCTAATGAATCATTTTGTACAGTTATATTTGATGAATTTTTTCTAGCTGGATTAGGTAGAGATAATGTTACTCGACATTTATTAAAATTACTTTGGTACATTCATCCAAAATTACCACCGACTCGTCTTCATACATTAATGAAAGCACTTCAGCCAACTAGTCAGGTAATATAATTTATTTTAATTAAGAAAAGAATATAATTTAATATCATAATAATTTTAAATATTTATTATACTATAACTGACTTTTATAATTTAAGCATAATGAAGCAGTACATAATCTTTACGAAGCTTTACGTGATAAAATTGGAAATCGTTCAACAGAAGATCAATTAACAACAACAGCACAAATGGATACATTAGGACTCGAATGTCCACCTTCTCCTCTTACTGGTGTACCTACACCATCTTCTTGTTCATTATAATAACAAATAACAATAATATATTATTTAATTTTGTGTAATTTTCATATTGTGTATCTTTTTGTACATTCACGAATATAACTTAACAATTTAATTTGTAAATGTGTTTTTATTTTATACTTTATTGAATCATAAATTCAAAAAATAATAAAAAAATTACATAATTTTAAATCTAATATAAATAATTATTCAAAATTATATATTATTATTCAAAATTATAAATTATATACAAAAAATATATTTTTCATTTATATTTCACTTACATTAATTAATAAATATAAAAATTTATATCTTCAACATATGCAATATATAACATATAACAAAATACAAAACAATTTACAAGATTAATATTTATTATTATATATACTCAATCTCTATTATTAATTAGTTCCATTATTAATCTTTCTAAATAATTTGAATCTAATTTATATGACATTAAAATCATTGAAATATACATTAATGCTTGTTTGGTTGATAATAAACATTTCAGTTCTGGATCTATCATACTCAACCTAAAAAAAATATAACAAAGTATTAATAATTTATATAACAATTATATATTTTAATATTATAACCATTATATTACAATACTTGCATTTTAACAATAATAAGACCCACAAGAATCCATTCGGCTGTTTTAAAAATAACATTTGAAGCAGATAATGAAAATGTATTAATTAAAACTTTAATTAAAGTACTTTTTTCACTATTGTATACATATTGCGATAATTTATTTTTAGTTAAAGCATTAAATAAATCAGGTAATCTATAACAAGAAAAAAAAATGTAAAATAAATATTAATATTTATACATCTATAAATAAAAAATATTAAAAGATCATACATTTTATTAAGTTTATCTAAAAATATTCGACGTCGAAGTATTTTAGGTGCATGTGCATCTATTAAAGGTAATACAGGAGTAAAATCATTATCTTGTTCAGTAACTTCTATATTATTTTTATGATTTTCTATAATCATACTTCCTTTATAAAATGCTCGAACCTAAAAATAATAATTATATCAAAAACTATATATTTTTAATATAATTTTCAATATTTTTAAATTTTATTTACTTTTAATTCCATTCTTTTTCCTTCTTCTTGAAGAATAGATAAATGAGGTAATGGTTTTAAAATATTTGCAGTTAAATCTATACAATCATTTTTTTCATCTTCCATCTGTAATTTATTCAATTTTTTACATAAATGCAAATATCGATCATGTTGAATTATATTTTCTAATAATTGATTTTTAATATCTTCTATTCCTGTTAATAAAGCAATAGTATCTTTAGTAATCCATTCCTTTACATTATGTTCAATATGGATTGTAAGATTATAAAATTTATTATTATCTGATTGTTCTTCTTTAACAGAATTTTCTTTATATTTTTTATATTTATTTTGTTTTATTTTTTGTTTACACACATACATAAGATCTTTATCATCAATAATACTATCTTGTGTTATAATATTTGTATTGTATTCTGTTGCTGATGTTTCAAATTTCAGTTCATCCTTTTTTTCACTTTTTATATTGTAATCTTTATTTTCATTTGAAAAAATAACATCATTATTTACATTTTCAGTATCTTGAATTATTGTATTTATTTCATTATCTTTTGAATTATATATTTTTTTAACTATATCATTATTTACAAAGTTTTTAATACTGTTATCTTTTGAATCAATGGATATATTTTTTATATCTTTAGATGTTTCATTCAAATTTTTTGAAAATTCTTTGAAAACAGGTTTTTTAA